AGAAACATTTAGTTAAAACATTGTCACTATTGTGTTTCTTTTCTTATGTCTACATTTAGAGCCCTCAGAAAATTAGTCAACAGTCAACAGAATGAATGGGATGTGTATCTGGGTGCTATACTGTTTTCTTTGAGGTCTAAGGTCCACACCACAACCAAATACACACCATTTCTTTTAATGTATGGGAGAGAAGCAACTTATCCTTCAGAAGTTCCTGTTGAAGTACCTGTAAGTGTTTAAAGAATTCTGTCTATCCAACTACTGTGATTATACATAAATGTCATCTTAATTGGAAAGAGGATGTATCGATACTGCCATGGCTGCAGATTTAATCTTTTCTGCTTAATTTCTAAATGCAAGACACATTTTACAGATAAATTAAGTGACTAATCAGCCTTTGTTCTTTACATTTGTATCTTAATTTAAGGTTACCAATAGTGAGGAGAACTTTCAGTATGATAATGTGTTCACCTGTACAAGTGTATCAAGTGTAAAAAGTGATCATAAAAAGTGTTAATAATACAAAAATTATAGGTATCTATCTCTTTTGTGGCATTTTGGGCTCAAAGCTGTGTAATAGTATAATTAGTTTTAAACATTAGTTATGTAAACATTAGAAAATAAATGAAATTACTTTTTCGGTTCATGTTGCACATGCGTTATTTGCCTTTGCAATTTTAATTGTTAATTAAAAATTGTAAATTTTAGCTATCCTCCATCATTCTCCCTGAGGAGTCAAGTTACAGTGACTTTGTATATTCTACAAGAGACGCACAGGATTTAGTTAAAAAAACTGTAGAAGAAAATATAGCAAAGTCCCAAGAAATGCAAAAGGAAGCCTATGCTAGACGAGTACAGAAGAAGTACAAAAACATTGTATACAATGTTGGAGATGAAGTTCTTCTCCTGAACATGAGGAAACGTGGAAGGAAGGGAGGAAGACTTGATCCAGATTTTTCAGGTCCCTACACCATTCAGGACATCTCTGGTAAATGTGTTAGATTAAAAAACACTGAGGGAGCTACTTTAAAAAATCAGTACAGCATTGACCATATTAAGCCGTACAGAAGGACCCACTCTGTAAATGTCAGTGACAATGAAAAATGTCCAACTCGCAGTCAGCCAGTGAACAGCCTTACAAACCTCAAGATGCCCCCATGCCATCCTACCACTAGCCCTCAGTATCAGCAAATTCCAGAAGATACCAGACCCTCTGTTATTCATTACGCACCAAAAACAGCTGACAAAAGTTGTGCCTCCCACCAAGAGGTAAATTCAGTACCAGCACCAGAAAAGCTTGAACCAGAATCTCCCTCCTTGCAACAAAGCACAGAAGATGAAGGTGGCATAGCTGAAAATTTCATTTTGACCAGTTGGTCATTTGTTGCCAGTTTGCCGTTCCAACTTGGTTCACTGTTGCTTGCATGTTTGCTGCTAATACTTCATTGTATTGTCTTATCTTGGCTCTTTTGACCTGTTGGTCAGTTTAGCTATCTGATTTACAGAGGGTGGACATGTGCCGGCTTACTAAAAAGGAAAGTTCTGGTCTAAGGAGAACAGAGATCTAAATCTCTGGGCACCTGGATATATGCTGTCTTCAACTCATATTGAATGTAATGCAATAGACAGTCAGCTTGTGGAAGTCCGCAAATGGAACAGTCTGTCAGTAAACTTTTCTCTTTTGTCCACCCCCTGTACCTTTCCTATTTCTCTGCGTGAAACCACATGTTCATTGTGTTGTCTCTTGTCCAGTTGTAGCCCGTTGGCCTTAACCCAGGTTTTCAACTAAAATTCTCATGCCCAAACTAACATCATATTTTTCTTTTAGTAAAGAGGCTATGGGCTGCTAAGGATACTGGGCGCTTGGAGTCAGTTGTCGGACCATACAAGCTGTATGATTCTTCTTTTCGAACACTGCAGGGGTCTGGGTGGCTTTCTGATGAGGTAAGAGAAGTTATCATTATTGTGATTGATTCCCACTTTGAAGTGCTGCTCCTTCTACAGTTTTTGCCGTAGAGACACCATTAATGGCTTAAAATGTGTGGGTAGATGGGGGAGTTTAGATAGCAAAACCACAAGCATCTTCTTCCCCTCAGATTTCTCCCATGGACTTCAATAGGAAAGAGTGCCATCAACCACAACACAGATCCCCTCTGTGACATCATAATGTCCAGTTCCACTATATGCAGAAATAACCTTTATCAGCATTCCTTTCTAATTTTTGCACACAGCAATCAAGCAGTTTCTTCAGAAATTGCTGTTGTTAGTGTATAAACTGTCTTTTTTCCAAACAGGTAATTGATGCATGCCTGCACCGTCTCATTGAGAAACAAAAGGCAATTAAGAAATATGTTTACCCAGTTATTTTGAAATATACAAATATTTAATTTTTTATATGTTCTATAACATTTTTGTATACTTTTACAGAACACTGTACACCTGCTGTGTTCAGTTGTTGCAACCTCGTTGTTCTCTGGGCAGTTTAGATGCGTCAGCAAGGTAACGTAGTTATTCTTATGGTGTTTTCAGATATAATCCTCTTTAAAGGAACCAAACTCAGTCCTCTAGAAGTGGTCCAAAAAGTGGACCAACAGAAAGGGAACTCGGTTCTTTTAATGTTCACAGTGTGAGTTCATTTGAAAGGGGACTCTGTTCTCTTTCTGAGGACTGAGTTCAGTTCCTTTAAAAAGGACTATATGTGAAAACACCCTGAGATGCATGGTACTTACTGTAAGTGGATCTAAATTATTATAAACTTACTAAAAAAACATCCCACAGATGAAGTTCCCAGTTGAAGACATTTGGCTGTGCCCTGTGAACTTTGGTACACACTGGATTCTTGTGGTACGTGTTCAATTATTTATTAAGCAGCATACTTTGTTGTTAAGAAACAGTTTCTTGAAGATTGTGTTATTCTTATGTGGGTTTAATTAGCAAAAACTATTTTAAATACAACATTTTTTTTTAGATTGTCAACATCTTAGCGAGGACAATACTGCTCATAGACCCCATGGGGAATGAAGGTTTTTATGAAAGGAAAATTCTGCGCAACTGGAGGTATGTATGATACTGAAGTATGATTCTTAGAAACAACATATCTTGTTTCATTATAAATTGCTTTGTTAACTAGGAATTTTCTGAGGATGAGAGGGCACGAAGACGCCAAAACGGAGTGGCAGTTACAGACTCTGCAGCACAATAAGCAACAGGATTCCAACAGTTGCGGAGTTTTACTGTTAAAAGTACTTATTCAAATTATTCTATTTATTGTTAACTATAATTACAATTTTACATTATAATGATGGTAAATCTCACAGTTCGCAGAACACTACCTTGCATTTGGAGAGGTCAGTGAGGTGCTCACCACTATGGAAGCAGTTGCACTGGAGCGAATGCAGATAGCTTGCAGATAGCTTGCACCCTACTTGAACATCGAGGTAAGTTCAGTAATGTCCTTATCACATTAAAAGTGGAGGGTTCTTCAAATCTGGAGCTCGATTCCTAACCCAAGCCTTGTTTTCAGTTCTCCCAGGTAGTTAGTTTAATAATTACTGATTCTGATTGGTCAGAGGCTTCACACCTGACTGACAGGTAAAGGAAGGCTGGAAAACCAGCAGTGCTCGGACCTCGAGGACCGTGATTTGAATAACCCTGTTATAGTGTGTAATTACAATTTAAATAGTACTTTTCAAACAGTACAGTACAAATAGTACTTTTCAAACATTTTGTGAAAAGACTTTTCTCAAAGTCTAAATATAAAAATTTAGGAGAGTAATTTGCTATGATGTATCTTCCTAAACACGTTATCATTATTTTTAAATTATTCAAGGAATAATGTTTGAATAACATTGGAAGCGTCTAGGAACAACAGAAACTCAGCAATGAAGTGACACCATGTAAAGTAACAGAGCGGGTCACCGAGTGCTGAGGCACATAGTGTGCCGCAGAGAATGATTCCTGGTCTTAGAGGAATGTCTTATGAGGAGAGGTTAGCGGAACTGAATCTGTTTAGCCTTGAGCAAAGGAGACTAAGGGGGGACATGATCCAGGTATATAAGATTCTAACGGGTCTGGATGCTGTTCAGCCAAATGGCTATTTCAATATTAGTTCAAATACTAGAACTCGTGGCCATGAGTGGAAATTAACGAGAGAACATTTTAAAACAAATTTGAGGAAGCACTTCTTTACACAGCATGTAGTTAAAGTATGGAACAGTCTTCCTGCTAGTGTAGCAGAAGCGAAAACCCTGGGTTCCTTTAAATCAGTGCTAGTTAAGATTTTAACAACTGTGAGCTATTAGTTAAGTTCTCCCCAAACGAGCTTGATGGGCCGAATGGCCTCCTCTCCTTTGTACATTTCTTATGTTCTTCTGGCCATCAATGTGTTTTAGGGAATGCTGAGGACCACTGCATTGTTTGTTCTACGTTAGATGCTGAAGCTGACCGCAGCATGATTGAAATGGTAAAAAAAACCCACCATAAGTCATATTATCATTAATTGCTGATCATGTTTAAAATGTTATGTAATAGTATGTACAAAAAGAATGAGCTATTTATTTTTCCCTTCTAGGTGCAGTGTGATTCTTGCCACAGATGGGCACATTTTGAATGTGCAAAATATAAGTAGAGCCACCTAGAATACAAATGCAAAAAATGTGAGGAAAGCATGTAACAGGTTCTTATAAATAAAATTTCCCCCCATTTCTCCTTGTATTCTGTGTTATCATTAAATGAATGTGTGCTGAAAGCATGTCTTGATGGGGTAATTTGGCCATCAGAACATACTACCTATATAAATACAAGCAGGAGGCATGTCTTGATGGGGTAATTTGGCCATCAGAACATACAGTACTACCTATATAAATACAAGCAGGAGGCATGTTTTGATGGGGTAATTTGGACAACAGAACATACTACCTATATAAATACAAGCAGGAAGCATGTTTTGATAGGGTAATTTGGCCATCAGAACATACTACCTATATAAATACAAGCAGGANAAGCAGGAAGCATGTTTTGATAGGGTAATTTGGCCATCAGAACATACTACCTATATAAATACAAGCAGGAAGCATGTTTTGATAGGGTAATTTGGACAACAGAACATACTACCTATATAAATACAAGCAGGAGGCATGTCTTGATAGGGTAATTTGGCCATCAGAATGTACTACCTGTATAAATACAAGCAGGAAGCATGTCTTGATATGGTCATTTGGCCATCAGAACATACTACCTACAGTATATAAATACAAGCAAGAAGCATGTTTTGATAGGGTAATTTGGCCATCAGAACATACTACCCATATAAATACAAGCAAGAAGCATGTCTTGATATGGTAATTTGGCCATCAGAACGTACTACCTATATAAATACAAGCAGGAAGCATGTTTTGATAGGGTAATTTGGCCATCAGAACATACTATCTATATAAATACAAGCAGGAAACATGTCTTGATAGGGTAATTTGACCTATAGATATGTACGTTGGAGGCATAAACCACATATGGTAGCATATTCTGATAAGGTAGACATGACTATAAATTTACGCTACGGTAGGATGTTTTGATAAAGTAGAATGTTTTGTCAGAACACCGGCTCCGTCCAAAGAGCCGTTATTCCCATTACTACACTGTTCTGCATGGAATATCGCATGTTTTTTTATTCTAGTTTATTTTATTTTAATTAATGCTCAAAATACAATTACACAAACACAGAAGCACAAAACATTCGTATAACATCCATAACATCAACAACGTCCGAGCACAATGACAACACAAAACAAAGAAAAGATTTTAAAAAAACAATCCAACAAACTAAAGTCCTCGGATAGCCAAGTCTCATTGCAATTTTCCCGTACATGTAGACCAATGCACCAAAATAGAGAGTTGTTAATTCTTTGTGGAAAACAAGGGAAATTGGAGGAGTTCTTAAAAATTTGCATTTGTGGATGACAAATTTACCTAATAGCAAAATACAGTTAATTGCAAGACTCACATAGTCATTTTAGGACATCGCATGTTTGACCGACCAAGAGGTCCGCCCCTCGCTATAGATCCGCCCCCTTCCCTGCCCTAGTGGTTTTGGGGTGGGGGTGGTTTAACTTGACTAATGCATCTGATTTAGTAAGAATATCTGCGCCGGATGCAGCTTTGGGATGCTCCAAAACGGTAAATCAGCGTAACTAAGATGCGACGAGCTGTTTCTTTTTTATCTATCTATCTAGCTGACTAGCTGTTTAGTCACCGAGGTAACAGTATCTCGAGTTATTGTTTGGTTGTGCGTGACAGCCGCCCTGCGATCTGCTCGTACATTTTTAAACAGCCACCACGTCGTTGCTTGCAGTTAAAAGCTGCAGTAATCGGGTAAAGATCTGGTTGCATCCATTGAATAACATATTGCACTTTTTGGTGCTGCGTTGTTTTCAGTCTTGACATGAATTTCAGCGTGTCGTCGCTGTGCAGTAGAACCTCTTTCTTTTAATAGTTACGTTTCTGTCATGGTGAAACCTCACAATGTGACGGTATTTCATCTACGTATGCTTACTTATCTGGGCAGTCTACAGTAAACAGTAAAAGAAATAAAATATCAATCCCAACAGAGCACAATAATGGAGCTCCTTCCTGTGCTTGAACCGGAAGACGAACCACGAGAGGGTGTATGGTAAACACCAGCACGTTGCCGACAGCTGATTCATTATTTAGTTGTTATGTATTTTGTTTATTTAAATCTCATTTTCCCGGCGACATTAGCTGCGTGTTCATCCTGTGCCGGTGCTGCTCGGCAGGTACGCCCTGATCCCCAGGGGAGGGGGTCCCGGAGTCAGCGTGGGCCACACGTGTACTTACATCCCAAGCAGTGACGATGGAAAGGGAAAGATCCTCATCGTCGGAGGGGCAAATCCCAATGGCAGTTTTTCAGATTGCCATGTCATAGACCTTGGTAAACTTACCGGAACTTTACACGTCTTTTATATTGTGCATAACTACATGCAGGGATGCGCATTCACCTTTAACAGCGATACGTGCGGCATTGCATTATCGTGCACTTGAACCTTAATTATATGGTAATTCGTACTTCATTTACGGTATAAAGTTAAAATTATAAAGTTAAAGATTAGTTCTTGTCATAGCAGCGCAAATGCACATAAGATAGGGACACATTTGCGCTGTTACAACAATCGACTGCCGCACGTATCGCTTTTAAAGGTAAATTCGTACTTGTATGTACCAGTTATGCGCATCCCTGATTATATGTCTGACAGATACATATTTAACTTCCAAAACGAATCGCATTGGCGCTTGTTCCCGTTTTGATCGCAGACTGGGGTTTGCTTTGAGGTCCTAACCCTAACCTAGCCATGCCTTCCGTGGGCAGACCGCCACGAGTGGGACGCGCCCGAGTGGGACGGGCTGTCTGCGCGCTACGAGCACTGCAGCTTCGTGCCTGCGAGCAGCCCGCGCAGCCTATGCGTGTTTGCCGGGGCTCAGCAGAGCGGCAACCGCAACAGCATCCAGTCCATAAACGTGGAAGGTAATGGCCAGGCCCATATGTCTTCTCATATGGCAAATATTATAAGCTAATGCATAAGTTTTCTTACGTCAACACGGTCTTTCACGAATGCTAAAAGCAATTTAATGTCTTAAACATGACTTCAGCGGTAAATTAAACAAAGTACGGTGCTGTTTCTTTTCTTAATGTTCTTATTATCATTAAAGCAGCATGTACTCAGAGAAGTCACAGAATGAAGCTATTGTACCCTAGTCAAAACCATGATATTCACAAGATGACATTGATTGTGAGTGTTGTTCCACGTTCTTTATACACTGTTAATATTTATATCATCAGCATTGTGTACTCTTGTAATAAAAAATAATCTGCTCTGAAAAAAATATCAGTACACTAAGCATTTTAACAAACTGAGCTGTCATAAGTTGTGGGCGGTTTAAAGTTTGCCTTGTATAAAGTTTTGACATTTGGATAAATATTTTGCACATAGTTCTTGCTGGGAATCATTTTAAAGCCTTGGCTCCTTGGCCTTTGTCCTCAGAAGCGACGTCGTGGAGAAACGTGCCAGTGACAGGGATCCCCCCATCATCCAGGACCTACCACACCAACTCCTCCTGCGCAGGCGACAAGCTCTTCGTCTTTTCTGGGGGGGAAGCTGGAGCCGCCCCCGTGAATGATCCCCAGCTTCATGTCTTTGACGCAGGTGTTCATCACTTCAGATACTAACAGTAACGACGATTATTTGTTAAAACATCAGAGGATCACCGTGACTTTTTAGTTTTGTGTCACGCGAATGTGCGCGTTTAAAACTTACCTGCCATTTGTCCGCACGCAGGGTCCTCGACCTGGTCTCAGTCAGAGACCCACGGGAGAGCCCCGTCCGCAAGGCACGGTCACGCTGTGGTCACCGTCGGCTCCAAGCTTTACGTTCATGGAGGGCTGTCGGGGGACAAGTTCCACAGTGACATGTTCTCCCTAGACACACGTAGGTCCACGTTGAAACATCTCCAGGCCGCCGTTTCCTGAAAAAGGTCACTACGAAATACTCAGAGTGGGGACATATATCATTTAGTTATAGAAAATAGCTACCCATGAGATTTATTGGATAAGCAGTCAGAAGATGGATGGAAGGATGGAATAGGCTATTGGGGCAAAATCCTATTTCACTGTATTTTTATATGCATTTCTCTTTGTTATTAAAATTCTCAAGCAAGTATGATTTCCATTACATGTTTATAGGGAGGCATAAATAGTAAGAATTGAGACAAATGCAGAGGTACATTTCTAAGAACATTCATGAAAGCTGCAATGTTTGTTTCTCTGGGAGAGGGCACCACTGAGCCACACGTGCATTCTGCCAACCCTGCAGTGACCATGACGTGGGAGCGTGTGAGAACCAGAGGTGACGCCCCCCCAGCCGTGGCTTCCCATTCAGCTGTGGCCGTCGGGAAGAACATCTACGTGTTTGGGGGCATGACGCCAGCCGGAGCCACGAACTCCATGTACAGGTTCCACACCGGTGAGGCTGTGGCTCCTGCTTCTCTGCAGAGGCTCCGCATTTTTCCTCGTTTAAAAGTCGTCAAGTCGTTTCAGGGCACCTGAGTGGCACAGCAATGAAAAGATGTCATCATTCAGGAGTGTATTTATGAATTAGCATGTTGCCGATAACATACAATACTGTGCAGATGTCTTAGGCATTCAAAGAAAATGTTTAAATGATCTTCATGTTCGTAGAAAACTGTGATGCTATGTCTAAGTGTGTTGGTTTAGCCATTTCAAAATCGTTCCTAAAATCACTCCAGTATTTGCAACAACCATTTGATACACCTGTGTACTTTTTAACTGGACCACTGGCACACCGTCTTTGAGTAATCAGTGTCTACTAATTAGGATAATCGATTAACTGAGCTAGTAGTGAAATTTTAGTGAATGTGTTGTATGGCTGGGGTGCCACTGAGGAGATGTTTGGGAACTGAAGCGGTCTTCTAGCCATCCAGCAAGATATCAGTAACTTTTAGCAAAGAAGAAATTATTGTTGGTTTTTATTGTGTTGCTTTTAACTTGCATATGTTGCAATGTTTGTTTTTTTTTTTTTTCCGAGCAAATACACACTACCCAGATTTTTTCTTTTTTTTTTTGTTTGCCTAAGACTTTTGCATATTACTGTATAACAAATCAAACAGGATTTAAAGGGATTACTGCCTACAATAGTTCAGGGGCACCGTAAGGGGGAGGGGGGAGTAGACAGGCCATAAAAAATTGGAATGCTATTGGAAATTGGATTGCTCTGGGGTGGGGGCCTAATATAATATGCTTTCATGGGGCCTAAAATTTCCAGCGGCACCTCTGGTTCGGTTAGCATGTGCAGCTCTGAGGTTCTGTTTGAATTTTCTAATTCTTCACTCCTATTTCCCTCGCAATCGAACAGACAGGCAGCGCTGGGCCCTGATGAAATTCAGGGGGCACCTCCCCCCAAACCGACTGGACCACTCGATGTGCGTGGTGCCCTGGCACCTCCGAGCTGAGTCCAGCGGCGGGGAGAAGCCAGCTGGGACTCCTAAACCGGACACAGTGCACCTGTGCTTTGCCTTTGGCGGTATGGACACGCAGGGCGTGATCCACAGCGACTGTGTGGTTACTGTGCTGATGTGAGGCAGATCCCTGAAAGAAAAACACTGAATAAAAAGCTTTTTTTTTTTTTTTTACCTTTTAATGGTTTTTTAGTGATTTATTACAGTGCAAACACCAAAGACATAAAAAAATAAATATAGTTACAAGAATACGACAAAAAAAGACATGGAGACAGTCGAAAGAAAAATAACATACACCTTACATATCCATAGATGTGTGTATGATTATAATTGTCATGTTATGTATCAAATATACGAGCAAATGATTGCAAGGAATAACAAAGAAATAAGCATAGCCCCTTTCTTTGAGACATGGGTGTCTTACATCCTCTTACATTTTATTTTCTAAACCTATTAACTAAGAACACATGGTTCAAAGAGAAGAAGAAAAATAATCGTTTACAATGTATTACATGCTTAATATAAGAGCAAACGTAATAGTTAGCAGTGTCAAAACAAGTAGTGATTTATAAAGTACAACAATATGACCCTTTTCCAAATCAAATTCACACAAATTGTATGTAATTATAGTCAGATGAACAAACAAACCGGGCACACTTGTGAGTCTGTCGCTGTCTCATTGTTCTGGCCTGTTTTTTAACATTTAATGTTTTTTTAAGGATTCCTGTTCAGAAAAGTGAAACGAAAGTCATCACATATGGTGATACTGTAGTCTAATAAAAACAGTCTAGTTTTGTTTGAAAGCTGAATATTGCAACAAGTCCCTTGTTAAAAAGTGACACGCAGTAGGCTATACTGAAATACTGAAGCATGTATCTGCCAGCCAAAATATGCCTGAGATATCAAAATGTTCATTTAATTCACAAATCTGGGGACAGGAACTAGATCAATATCATGAATGAAGATTCACGCACTGGGAGACACTTTCAGGCAAACTGGTTAGGAGCCACACCTGCCTGAATATGACGGGTCTGTTGGCCATTTATCCAGTCAATACCTTCTGAGAGGCAACTTTTTTAAATGTGTCTTAAGGTTTCACAAGGGAATATCATAAGCTTAACATGGCCTTGGCTGCATTGTTTAAAGATGAAAACAAAAGCCAGTTGTTATTACATATGATATTAGTTATGCTTAAAAGTCAGACAGTTAAGTGTTCCTTGAGCTGTGAATTCAGCAGCTGGAAACCTGAAAGAAGCAAATTTGAAGTTTCACTTTACAGCAGATGATTTACGCCTCCAGTCTTGTTCCTGCCTGCATAATTTCAGAAGCAGTTCATTATAATCCAGTGTGTATATTTAGAATAAGAGCTGAAGGCTAATACCCTACAACTCATTGTGCTTATTATGTTGGTCCTGCACTCCATCAGGTGGTCCACTGGTATTGTCATATAACTTGCTTATGATTGGTTGGACCACCTTCTCAAGCTGCTGCTTCTGTGCCTGCAAGTCGTCAAGTTCAGCATCCTGATGAGACTCCATCCACCCAATGTTCTCCTCCACAGCCTTCCCGATAGCCTCCTTGTCTTCTGAAGACAGCTTGCTTCCCAGCTTCTCGTCACTGAGCTGGTTCTTCAGAGAGTAGGTGTAAGTCTCCAGTTCATTAAGGGCATCGATGCGCTCTTTCATCTTCTTGTCCTCCTTCACGAAGAGCTCTGCGTCCCGTAGCATGTTCTCGATCTCCTCGGACGACAGTCTTTTCTGGTCATTGGTGATGGTGACCTTGTTCTTTTTGCCGGTCCCCTTGTCCTCTGCTGTCACTCGCAGGATGCCTTCAACGTTGACTTCAAAGGTCACTTCGATCTGTGGGATACCGCGGGGAGCAGGCGGAATCCCACTCAGGTCAAAAGTTCCCAAATGGTGGTTGTCCTTGGTCATGGGACGCTCACCTGAAGACAGACAGAAGATATGTTATATACCGTTTAAAACAGAAAAGTTTTTTCATGATCTAAGTGGTGGTGGTTGAAGTGGTTCCCTACTGGTTGTGTCAAGCGCTTTGGGTGTCTTGAAAAGCACTATATAAATGTAGCCTTCATTAATTAATTCATAATCTAATTAACAAGGAAAAGGAGTTCACCTTCATAGACTTTGATAGTGACAGTGTCCTGGTTTTCAAAAGCAGTAGAAAAGATCTGAGACTTCTTAGCAGGCACAGCAGAGTTCCTCGAGATCAGCTTTGTCATCACACCACCAACGGTCTCAATACCCAAAGTCAGTGGGCAAACATCCAGTAGAACGAATTCTAGACGGGTCAATAACATAACATTTAATGTACTAGTGAACATGCATTCTATGCCCTGAATAAAACCTAACTGGTGCTGCAGTGGTTCAGTAATGTCACATGTCAATATCACCAAAGGTCTCGAAACTCACCGTTCATTTTTTCCCCAGAGAGCATTCCGGCCTGCACCGCTGCCCCGTAAGCTACAGCTTCATCTGGGTTGATGCCCCGGGAGGGCTCCTTCCCATTAAAGAACTCCTTCACCAACTGTTGGACCTTAGGTATCCGGGTGGAACCACCTATTAGCACGATCTCATCAACATCTGACTTTTTCAACCCAGCATCTTCCAGAACTTTCTGTACAGGCTTCAGTGTGGCACGGAACAGATCCTGTGTGGAGAAAACAGAGTAGAATTAGGGTAGGCAGGGCTTAAACATAGGATTATCCTTGCCACGTTATGTAAAAAGAATTTCCCCTCAGTATCAATAAAGTATATTTCACCCTATCATATCATATATTATGATTATTGGGTGTGAAATGGTGAATTTGTCATTGCTGCCTCAGTAAGGTCTTTTTAAAGAAAACACTCACAAGTTTATGTCTGAAAAGCAAAGATTTCAACATTCTGCAACCCAGGTTTAAGCCCAATTACCACATTGAGCTCTTCAAACTTGGCTCTGGTGAGAGTCTCGGAGAAATCCTTGCCCTCAAAGAAGGACTCGATGTCGATGCGGGCCTGATGCTGCATGGACAGCGTGCGCTTGGCCTTCTCCACCTCTCGCCGCAGTTTCTGCACGGCACGGTTATCCTTGCGCACATCCTTGCCGGTGTTCTTCTTGTACAGCTTGATGAAATGTTCCATGACACGTTGGTCGAAGTCCTCCCCGCCCAGATGGGTGTCTCCATTGGTGGCCACTACCTCAAACACCCCGTCATCAATGGTGAGGAGGGACACGTCAAAAGTGCCACCACCCAGGTCAAACACAAGGACGTTCCTCTCTTTGTCAGTTTTGTCCAGGCCGTAGGCAATAGCAGCAGCGGTGCTGAAGTGAAAGAGTGCAAGAAAAAACAAGATAATCATGCTGAATTTTTAAATGCAATGTCAATTTTATTTCTAAACTATAGCTGACAAAACGCAGATCCTTGATGCAACATTCTTCTGGCAAGACAGCATTTTACTGAATAGGCATCAGGGAAATTTTGGTTGTCCAGCAGCAAACCAGGAAGGTGCATAACTGTTAGGTTTCCTCTAGGACCAAGCAAAAACCTTTAGCAATAAATAAGGCAGATGCTATTTGCACCCAGGTGTCAGTAGCCAACAATGCTGATTATTATTATTATTATTATTATTATTATTATTATTATTATTATTATTATTATTATTACTACATGAAATGAGCAGTCTAATCTGTAAGACCAAAACAAACAAATTTGGTGGGAAGATGACAATTCCTACCCATTTCCTGACCCAACCCAGACATGTAACCATGCATGTAACACAGTGTTTATGTTTTTTGTGGAGCCAGGGGGCGGGGCCTGAGGAGGCTGGCTGTAAATAGCCGAATAGAGGAGCAGATGCTATTTGCACCCGGGTGCAAACAGACACTCCAAATAAATAATGGTACATATCCAGTCTTTGCTGTTTAGCTCATCAGCAATGCACCATAACTTACGGTTCATTAATGATCCGTAACACATTAAGGCCAGCGATGACCCCCGCGTCCTTAGTGGCTTGGCGCTGGGCATCATTGAAGTAAGCTGGAACAGTGACCACGGCGTGGGTGACCTGCAGGAAATACAACAAAGGAAAATCAAATGTTTAGTAAGAGTTAAAGCTTCCAGTTGTTGATACTTATATACTCCAAACTATAGAGCCAAAGATACCATCCATTCCCCAGTCACTTCGTTATTCTGGATTCGATGGCAGTGCAGTATTGCGCATACACACACACACACACACACATGTCGGGTAAACATATCTTTATGGGGACCGCTCATTCATTCTATGGGAAAAATGCTAACGCTAACTATGACAACCTTAACCCCTACCCAGCCCTAACTATAACCATAAGTAAGCAAGCAAAGTTTTTGCATTTTTAGTTTTTTTCATTGCAGTCACAGATTATTATTAAATTGAGTTTTCCCAGGAAACTGATCCCCATAAGGGAAAAAAAACGGATATTCATCACGTAAGGTAAGGTATACCCACTCACACAGACACACACACACACACAGTAACAACAATCCACTGTACCATGATGCCTTCGATTAAAAAAAGATACCTTCTCTCCCAAATAGGCCTCTGCTGTCTCCTTCATCTTAGTCAGCACCATCGCAGAGATCTCTTCTGGAGCTAACGTCCTTGTCTGGCCATCACTGATATTAACCTGAATTTGAGGCCTATTCATCTTCTCAATAACCTGGGTAAGACATCAAGCCAGTCATTGGGAACATAAATTAACTGAATTTCATGAGAATCAAGCAAAGTTATTCTATAACACAAGGAGATGGAGTATGGACATGTAAAATGCATCCCACCTTAAAGGGAAGGTACTTGATGTCTTTCTGCAGATTTCCATCATTCCAAGTGCGGCCAATCAGTCTCTTGGCATCAAACACTGTGTTCTCTGGGTTGGAGGTTAGCTGGTTCTTGGCAGCGTCACCGATGAGACGCTCACCCTTTGAAGTGAAGGCCACGTAGGAAGGTGTGATGCGGTTACCCTGGTCATTGGCTATGATCTCAACGTGGCCATTTTTGAAGACACCGACACTGTATTTGAGAAAAGACAGTGGTTTAATTAAGTGCAATAGGTTAAAATTATTATCAAGGTTGGTAATTAATATAAGTCTGCCAAGATACAATTCTAAAAACCTAAAAAAGTTGATGGATAATTCACTTTTCATCTTAATGTGAATTCCTGTTTTTCACATTAAGTCAGTTTCTCAAACCAGTCCTCGGTGACCCCCAGACAGTCCACATGGTGTAACGATGCATTATATAACAGCTCTGCATTGTGTAATAATCCGGCAAAATGTAACAAATGAAGTCAAGCATACCAGGAGTAGGTTGTGCCCAGGTCGATCCCCACTACTGTGCCCACATTCTCCTTCTTGTTGGCACCATCAGTGATGTCAGCAAACACACTGGCAGTGATGAGTAGAAATGCACAGAGTATTCTCATCCTTGAGGTAATCAACTGTTCAGCTGGATCATTAAACACACACACACACACACATACAGGTTTAATTCATTCCAACAAGAGTGCAGTCTATTATCTGACCATGTATCATCCCATTAACCAGTAGCATTAATACAGTACATATATGAGAGATACTTGTAACTGAGAATGGTGCATTTTGCTAAAATAACAAGTGAAAGGTATTTTGGGTAACTAACTGTTATATACAGAACAGTCAACAGTCACACAATAAAAAGAAACACACATGTCTTCTGTTCTCCATAAAGTTACTGATAGCTGGTTAGATGTAGCGAAAAACACAGCTTTGGTTCAGTAATCTATGTTCAGGGGCAACTCAAAAATTTCACGTATTCCTTAAATTTCACCACCAGCTCACTTAATTCATTTAATCGATTATTGCAAAATTATAATGATCTATTATAAACAATTAATAATAAATGCAACAATTCCACTTAGCTAGTTTCACAAGCATAAACATTAAAAATCACATAATAAAATAACATACCTTAACGTATGACAATTAGTTTTCCCCTCTGAAGCAGTAGAAAAGAGCGGCAGAATGTCTCTTTTTTTTCCTCAGTGTCTCTTTATTTCTAGCTGTGAGGTTTTCGATATGAACATCATTTCATGGAACAAACTTCAATTATATAAACCGCTTTCTCACCGTGGAAGCCCATCATTGGTCGAAAAAAAAATATATCTGGAAGGCGTCCATTGGCTAGGAGACATTCGCTGCTTATTGCTCATCTGGAAACGAAATACTGTACGTCGATTTCATTAGTAGTGACTAAATCTGTTAATTTTACCTGCTGATAACGTAAAAGTATTGTTTAAGTTTAATTACATTATTTTCACTCCTTATGTTTCATTCTGTAGTTTACATCACCTTTGTATTGCACGTATTTATAAAACTATTCCATAGTTCAGGCTGAGACTACCGCAAAGTCGAGGGAATATTCAAACTGTACGTTGCATCACCATTATTGCAGACCAGTTGCATATACGTTCGAAAAGATGCTGACTCATTCTATAGCGTGAATGCCATACTACTATTTGTCATACTACTGTCCACTATTTAAGAAAAGACATTTATAAAGAATTTTATGTCACTGATGAAATATTTTGAGTTATTTGTTAAAATATTCTGAGATATAATTTTACATGAGTTTGTTCGAAACTAACATATATTTCATCTTCAAAAGATCATACAACTAGTCTTACTAATTGCGAAATTAAACATGGTTAGCACATTACATCTATGTATGTAACCAGTTTTATATCAGTTATGCAGTCAAATGTGTTTTATTTTTGTTTGTCTGTTGATGATGTGGGAGCTGTATTTTTTTATTTTATTTTAATTTCGCATATGACTACTTCAAGATCCTGAAGGAATCTTTCTGCGAACTACAGGGGGCTGCCGATTTTAACTTATGTTATAAAATTAATTAGCCCCATAATGAGGAAATTTTATTCTTTAATATACAGGATATATAAGGCATTGTAGGACAATACACTGCACAATGTATTGAATACAATACTGTGCAATCCTATATTCCTAGGCGATGGGAGTCACGCAATAACGTGCAACTCTTGTAGCATTTCCTTGTTGTCATTCAACGTCACCTTCGGCGGACGACTACAATGTTTTCTCGGAAGGGGGAGTCAGTATTTAAGAAAACACAAAGTATTGTACAGCGAAGAAAAATGCACTTTGCAGAGTAAATTAATAAATAATATAATTTTAACTATAAAATTAAAGATATGCACTAGTTAATTAAAGCATTTTTGTTTTGTATTTTATTTAAAGTGAGGTACACACCCCTGTTAAATGACGTAATAAGTGTTAGAAAGCGCGCGATGTTGGGGTGTTCGGTGTTGCCCGGTTTCTTTAAATTGAGTTCTTAGTGGGTTATCCAGTGGTAGTTGTAATGGTGAATGTTACTTTGAATAGCTAATCTAGTGTTGTATACGTACGTATATACCATTGTTTTTTTTTTTTTGCTTGTGCTGCTTTTCTTCCAGTTAGTACCAATTTTCTGTTACTACGGTGAATGAGTGGCAGTTGGAGAAACGAAACCGTAAAACTAATGCTACAGTAATATAACATTATACAGATGCGATTTAAAACTAAGAATCGGTGGTGATTAACGACTTGTTTCGACTGGAGGAGCGTGTACCCATAAAAGAAGTCGTCTTGTAATGTCCGTGTGCCCAGATACAGCATCCATTCCTCCCTTGGGAAAAGGGGACAATCTTCATCAGCAAGGTAGCCATGTGATATGTATATACTTCGTTTAATTTATACTGCTGGTTTTATTATTTTAAAACGTTGTCATGATCAAATTGAAATGAAGCATAGTTGATCAATTCACGATGTTTCGCACTATTTCCGTGTTCGTACAGACAGACAGTATGACTTTAACCAACGACAGAAGATTTTTTATTTATAATATATCTCGGAATGAAGGGCAGACCCTTGTTTGATGCATGCCTGATGCCCTCTTTTGTTAAAAGGAAAATGCTTTTGTGCGGGATCTGAGGTCCTAAAGCCTAATTAACAGTCTGTATCCCATTGCCGCCCGTGCAGTCTTGGCTTCCTTCCCACTATGCCAACTGACAGAAGAGGACCTCGCTCAGAACCCGCTTTTCTGTAACCTCTTGGTGGCGCTGTCTAATCATGTGGACCACACCGGGCTGACAGTGGCCCTGAAGAAAGATCTGGAAAAGGTAGGACCATTTCTTTGGACAGACCGTAGCTCTTCCAGTTCATTGTTACTGCTGTTGGAAAGCACCTTTGGGTGAATGTCAACGATCGCGTGTAGGAAGGACTTTATCATGTTTTCTGGTTGAAGGAAAAACAGAGGCCAAACTGTATTCCCAAGTTTATTGCATTTTTAGATTGTGTTTAAATACTAGCAGCATCTGTGCGACATTTAAGATCTGAATTATAATGATATATTTCCGGTATTGTTATATTTTATAATTGTTTATCTGATGTCATTATCACAAAGTAGTGTGCGTTCTTGTGGCTTTTATATAGTTTGATATTTAATGGAAAAACTTGCATCAGGTTATGTACCTGATGCAAAGGTTCCAGCCAGCTGTGTGTATTTCTTGGTGTTTCCTGGCTGGTAACCAGCTGACGTCTTGTGGGGGGTGCAGACTGACAGAGACCTCCAAGCACAGAGACTGAGCTGGCTGCAGTCAGAGAGCCTGTACCGGCTGCTGCAGGAGATGATCCAAGACCACTGTGTCAGAAAACACCGCAGTGGCACCTCATCAGAGGATGACAAGGTTCACTTCTGAGCATCTCCATTAGATGTTGGGGATGTTTTCAAATATCTATTCTGATACCAGTCACACTCAATAACACACCTAAAATAGAATTCCTAAAACCTGTTTTTGAACCATTTTTTAACTATATTTAGTAGTAAAATCTGCTATGCAATGACTTGGCCATTAACCTTACATTAACCATTAACCTTAAAATTACATTTTTGTTTTATCCACCTGTGTGTAGTTCTATGACACCCTGGAGCGCTGTCTTCTGGTGGCCCAGTGTGTGAGGCAGCTAGACCCCAGCAGTAGCACGACCCAGGACCAGCCTCTCCTGTTGGGACTGTCTGCTCAGCACGTGCTGGACCTCATGCCCCCTGAGCAGGTGCACCAACCACAAACATCAGTGAATCTGGACTCATCTACATACATCTCAATGCATGAATGAATGAAGTAAAACGGATGTAGATGCAGATGCTTGACACACCCATGTTAAACATGGAAATGCATAACACTAACTTGAGTGCCTGGACGGGTTATTCAAGTTATAAACTGACCTTTTGACACTATCTCACTAGGATGTGCGTCGAATGAAGCAGAGACTGCTGATGGAGCTGGAAGGGCATTTGAAAAAGAAGTGTTTTAACATTCTTGCATACTACCAGCCCGATTGGGGTAAACCAAGTGCTACCAAAAATGAATTGTTTTTTTGACATGTTTTTCTGACGTGGCTTCCTCCGGACACTCAGTCTGACGTTTCATGTTAATCTCCCCAGAGGACGAGAGTGAGGGCCTGAAAAACTCGAAGTTGTCGCGGCTGCCAGAGAACCTTGAGAGCGAAAGCAAGAGAGCAGATGCCTTGAAGGAGAAGGCCAGGGATAGCGCCGCCCAGCTGCAGCGGCAGACTCACTGCTATCTCTCCGTAAGTGCTAGCTGGATCTCAGTGACGTACTTGTCTACATTTCGTTATATGTGCTTTCATGGGTGTTCCTAAGAGTATAAATATTTTGTGTGGATAGTGAATGCATTCAAGGTGAGTAACTTTTTCAAAAGGATGATTCGTATGGAACCTGTGGTCTTGTTCTTTTGTTTGAAACCACATTTGACTATGAATCAATTAAGCAACCAACAGTTTCTATGTACAATTAGATTGACTTGAATTAAACAAACGTACTCGGTAAATTATTTGTGGTGTTATAAACAAACATGAATGGGTTACCATTTACATGCATTATAATTTATTCTCTGTTTGATGGACAGTTTGGATAACAGTAACGTAACCTCAGAGACTGCATCACAAGGTGCTTTTACTCTGCACCAGGTACCAAACTTTGGTTACTTCAAAAAAGTACGAAAGTCTATGGTACTTCTTGTGTTTGTTTTCTACTAGCTTGAAAAACTGGTACAGTACCTGCACAGAATGAAACCAGCGGTGACCAGCACCACTTATGCACTACATTACCCTTGTGTCCCGTTTCTTCCATACGGTTTGCTATTATAGCAAATACTTTTGTGTTTCTTGTCATGCCATCCAGTTGTTATTAGATCTGTTGTTCTGACCGGATCGCAATTAAAGCTTGGTTCTCTTCATTTGTTCACAAATCCATTATTATTTCTTATTTTTTTCTACTTAATTTATCATTGTTTTTGTTGAGTTGTTAACTAAATTTGTTATATTTGGCTGTTATATTTTGTGTTTGCAAGGCAGGCTGTCTGCATACCAACCAACAATAAACATGTTTACAGTAAACACGTATGCAAGTTACACCTCAGAGTACCAGTTTGGTACTTCAGTACCGGTACTGGGTCGGAAGTGAACGGGAAAAATGGGCAGTGCTGATTTTTTTAGTAGCAAAAGTTGGATACCTGGTGCATCGGAAAAACGCCCTAAAGTCGATGCCAGGACCCCGTTCCTGCTTTTGATTGGTGGTCAAAGAAATGGACACACAAATTGGAAATTGTATTTTTATGACTTGAAAGGTATATTTCTGCAATGTAACATTTGGAAAAAGTACATTCAAATTTTTTTTTTCTCAAATAATAAAAATCATCAAGAATCTTTATAGACAACGTATGTCATACAGAATCTTCACTATTTTAAAAAAAAATCATATTTTTATAGTATAGAACCCTTGCTGTGAACCCTTTCCATCTCATTCCCCTTGGTCCACAGGAGGTGATGGGCTGCATCCAGATCTTACAGTCACTCATACTGGATTATCGGCTGAAAGCCCAGAGAGAGCTGGACAGGAAGAAAGTGGAGTATCTGGAAGCTAAGTGCCAGATAGTGTGCTGTAAGATCAGGTGGGGGACAGTGCCTCTCCAAGCATGCCTCGTGCTGGCCGGCTGCGTGGGCTCTGCGAAACTGCTGTAGCTGCTGATTGCTGCAGGGCAATTAATAGGCCTAACTGGCCATTTCCTCTCACAGAGCCGAGATGCTGCGGCTTCAGGTAGATACCTACACAACAGAGAAAATAAGCGCCCACCGCGTAATCAGGTAAGGCGAGTGGGAATGATCTTCAAATAAAAGTGCAAGTTGATCTATTTAGATGGTACTTTGTATACATTTCACAGTGTGGATTTTTTTTACTTTTCGTGTGTATCTCTCCATCTTCTAGAAACATCTTGAAGACCATCTGTTCCATCAATTTCTCTTTACTAACCTGTTGCCTCATTACGTTCGCTAGCAAATATGTTGCACTTCTGGTCCTTGAATAGTCTTTTGAGGTTCTTGTTTTGTTAGAAGTTGTTGTGTAGCTCCTGCTCCAGTACTGTTTACACTTCTACCTGGGCTTTCTTTAGAAGCTCAGCCTAGCTGCACTTGTCTTGTCGACTCCTTCACAGCAAATATGTTTGTAATGTACTATTTGTCTCACTTGTACGTTGCTTTGGACAAAATCGTCTGCTTAATGCATAAAATGTAAACATATCCCATCTTTCCTATGAGACATACAATCCATTCTGTGATTATAGTGTAAAATAGATTTTATTGCTGTTCACGATGCATGCATTTTGCCTGATTAGTTAATAATAGCTTTGTTCTCTGCATGTTTCCCATACTGCCTTATATATTTTTTTTTTTTTTTACATCTTCACCATTTCCAGGAACAAGCTGGACACGGAGCTGAAGGCCATCCGGGCTGAGAAGCAGACGGCGGAGTCCACGCTGTCATCCTTCGAGATCCTGGGCCAGGAGTTCGAGGCTTTGGTGGAGCAGTACTCACAGCTCCGGCTAGAGATCGAGAACAAGCGCTGGGCCCTAAAGGAGTTCTCCAGGCACAGTCACTGAAAGAACTGCTCTGCACCTGGACTGAAATGAATGCACCCGCTTTTTGTGCTGACATAAATATGGCATGTGCTGTGTAGATATACCTTTGTTTGTGTTGTTGTCACTGCTATAAATGTGTAGTGCTAGGTTTCTAGGCAACTAGTGACTTAATTTCATACTGACTGAATGATTTGCATGTTTTTCTTGAAAATAAAGGAGGCTGTCTTCATTATTGAATGGTCATAATTAACCATTTCATTTGGCTCTGCTGAGAACACATGGCAGGGTGTATATATGATTAAGAATTTTGTCTTGGTTTCAAATGAAGCCAAATTACAACGGCACACAATAGTCATATACAGTATTTGAGCCAGCTGTACTGCACAAAGAACAGTTTCTTAGCATAATTCCACTACTGCAGTGACTGGTCAAGCTAGTTTTCCAAGTACAGTATTAGGTAACAGATGTGTATCACCAGTTCAAAAAAATGGGATGGCAAAGCTAAAATAACAATAACGTAGAAATAAAATGCGAAACATCTAATTTGCATAATAATGAAAGTTATTAATAAAAGTAAACTGGTGACAAGTATCATTACTGTGTTCTGAGAGCACATTATTAAATTAAACATCAAGCTATTCAGGTAGACCTCAAACGGGACACAAAGTCACTTGCTTAACTAAGAAAACCCAGCAGCGCCAGTTTTATTTGCAACAGCTGGAGATATGGATCCAAGCGGTTACAAACTGCAATGGCTCAGCTTTACACTGCTGCAGAAGAATGCATTGTTACACCCTCTGTTTGTTTTGGGTCTGCACCATTGTGCTCTAAGCAGAGATTACAGCGAAAATTGTGATGTACAGAACAGGACTAAGAAAATAATGTCTGACTTCTTCCACCCTGGTCACTTCCTCTTCCAGTATCACCCTTTGCGGACAAAGCTTTGAGACATCAGTCCAAGTACAGCTGCCCATTGCCCTCCTAAACGAGGCCACTTTGTCCTTTATACTCCCATTTACTCTAAGCTGATTTTCACATATGCCAGTTAAAGCTGTTTGTATCCCACATCTTGCCATCTCACTTATTTATATGCCTACATGTTTAATCGTTTATTTATTAATAGCACATTTTCATATTTTCTATCTCTCTTTTTAAATCTTTATTCTATTTCTTTTAAGTGTTTTTTGTCTTGACTCTATGTTTAAATTGTATACTCCTGCCACCACCAAAACAAATTCCTGGTACTTTTTATAGATGGTGAATAAAATGATTCTGATTCAGATTTTGATTCTTACGTCAAACGCCGAACACCGCATCCATCCGTGACTGCCTATCAGAGAGGAATGGTGACCGAAGATCCTAGTACAAATTTTTGGTGAATACATTTAAAACACATTTTAAAATGAAAATAAGGCACATTCGCTTGTCACAGATTGGGCCTGCTCCTGGAAAGGACTACAAACATGGCGGGGCGCTAAAGTGCAGAATCTAGTTTGATGACGTGGTGCCGTTCGCTGTCCCGGACGATGCAGAATGGCAGACCAGACCAGGCAAACCAAACTCGCCGCGGCCAAGAAAAAGGTACGAAACCTGCTTTTTCTATCCCGTTGCGACCACATCATTCGGTAACTTGTCGACCTTTTGGTTTTGTGTTGCACTGTCGCCGCTGGGCAGCGCCGGGCGGATCCCGAGGCTGTCCGAGCTACACATCTGCCAGCTCCTCCATCAGCGTTCGTCCGGCCTATCGGAGGCCATTCTCTCGGCTGCTTTTGCCACTGAAATGCCGGGGATTAACTCCGGCCTACGGTAGTGACTGCTTCAGGAGTCAGTGTGGGGACTTGAACAATAAGAAAGATAGAAATATCTTAATCTTTAAAGAAATGCGTAATTGGTTATTTGGGTATCTGTCAACTTTGGCGGTTTTATGGGCTGTCAGCCTGGTGTTAGCATTACGCTGCTAAGAGTTAGGCTAAGCTAAGACGTGGCATTCAGCGTTGTCGCTCGGAAACATGACAACCTGGCCCCCCTCGCCAAATTAGTGGTTTTTCCCCAAGTATATCCCGCTGGCAATGGAAACGGCTCGGTGTCTGTGTATCTATCAGGGCACTCCTCTCCGTCTGCGTAACGAAGGATGACAGTCCCGGCTGACAACGCCACCCCGATGGCTGACCAGATAAAGCCCAGGATATTCGCATTACTTTCTTTAGGTTGGCGTAGAAAGCATATTCTTTTGTTTTTTTTACAGCCGCTGTCTCTGCCGTGGCCAAAGCCGTGCTGTGTTGACCGGGCTAAGCCGAAATGATCTGACTTTGGGACCAGATCGCCTTATTTATTACTGACCGCTTCGCGGAAACCGTGCCTCGTCGAGTCCTCCCTGACAATTTCTGTCGTTTTTAAAGGCCCAACTTCCTTGTCAGTGTGGAATGCAAACTTAGGAATTCATTAATGTCGGTCCTTCTTACAGTTTGTGTTCCCCATGACAGCTGTCGCAACCCCGTCTGGCACATTGAACTTTACCGGTATCCGGTTTGGACGCGGCGTGTGGGCCGTCATCGCTCCCAAGGGGCGTCTCTGGCACCCTTTTCTGTTCTGCTGGCTGATTTTTTTTTTCTTGAGGTGTAATAAATACAAACAAGTTCAAATTAATCACATTAGTACTGCACTTGTGACAACCGTGGACGCTGTCGTGATTTAAATCCTACTCCGTGCAGGATGTGACAGTCCTCATAGTCAGTACATGCCAACGTTTTAATGAAACTACAAACGCCGTTTTATACGCTTCGTTACTTTCCGCCGTCCTTTACATAAAATGGTGAGTAGATAAATCATGAATATTAATTTTATAAGGCTTTCAGTTTTAAAATGATTAAAATCCTAAATTTGGGCATGCATTTTTTTCAGTGATTGCAGAGGAGACTTAGATTTTAATCTTATTGGTAGGACCCATATACATTAGTGGCCAAAATTGTGGAAACATTTCCAATTTAGAGCTGTTGGTCTAGTTATTTAATCGTCCAATATATGATACTTGTAACATTCTTTGATCATGTATAAACATTGTCGCCAATATTTGTGTTGTAATTTTTTAAAGTGTGGTGCCAAAAATGCTTGGTGTTTCCACAATTTTGGCCACTAGTGTATCTGATGTACCCCATAGGTGTTAGGGAGTTTTTGCTTGTGTGTTTTTCAGAGCTTTCAGTAGATCTGTTTTCTACTTGAGCATGGTTTGAAATTGACGAAATACCTCAAATATATGAATGTAGGTCTTCTTTTGTTAAGCAAACAACTGAGATAAGTAAGCTGTTCTCTGCTATGAACTCCATGACAAATAGTGCCAGTGTTTGCCTGTTGACTGCCGCGCCCGATCATTTTGGAACACATGACTGGTCATTGTGACCCAGACTGAAACATAATCTCTGGGCTGGTATGCCAATGCAATGTGTCTCTGTATTTAACCCTGTTTTAAAATGTGCATCCAGTTCACACGCTGTGGTTCCCAAAAAAATCCCTGTGTGCCCTCCCCCCTTATTTCTGTAATCACTCTTCCAAGACACTATCAAGTCACTCTGGCTACTTTGAGAAACCAGTGTTTTTTAATTTATTTATATATTAAATTTCACCCTCCCTCCACCAACACCTTCTCACCAGCTGAAGGAGTTTCAGCAAAAGAGCACACCTCCAACTGGGGGTGCGGGGGCGAAGAAGAAGAGGAAGGTCAAGGGAGGGACTGACACGCCCACCGAGGAGAGGAGGTCCCCCGACAGCGTGAGTGACCGCCCCCTTGGGTTCGCACTCACTTACCATCCTCTCAAGCCTTAGAGATGACTGAGGTTTTACTTCAGCAGTATATGGTCAGCACAAGAAAGTTTATCTTAATTGTGTCTCATATGGTGATGTTTTCTTTTCTGAAAGTGCACGCATCCTCCATTATGGTTTTGTCCTATCTTTAATATTATGTGGTCAAAGCAATGAATGAGTTTGATATTATGGCCATTTTTTGTTTATTGGAAGAGGAGTTAAATCTCTTTAGTGGTCTGACTTCCTAATATTGCTTGTATTAGTCATACTGGTACATACTAATAACTGATGTCATAGTAACGCCCCCCCTGCCACCCCGTGTCTTCTGTCACTCTCCCTGAGTGCCTCGACCCTCTTCTTCCTCACTCGGTCTGCCGATCTTCCGCTCCCCTTTCTCCTGTAGATTCAGAACCTTCTGAAAGTTCTGGTGTCTGATCATACTCTGACTAATGGGGTCACTCTTCCTCCGTTTATTAACAGCCAGGTGAGCTGGTCTTTCCTTCCATTTCTCTCTCTCCTTTTATGGCTCCTGCTCTCTGCATGACTCTCTCCATATATTGGCATGACTCTTTTTTGATTTATTGGGGATTAAGAGATTAAAATTACTTTTTGACTTTTCAGTCAGTATTCGGAGTGCCTAATGTCCCCATCTTAGACCCACCCGTCCCCCTCCAGCACCCCCGTCTATTTCAGGTGGAATTTTCCTGAGCTATTGCTGTTAATTGCTTATATTAAACTTCACACCTGCCCCGAAGCTTTGGGTGTGTCCAGTTTTCTTGCCACCTGCCGTTTGTGAGGTGTGTGCGTGCCCGCAGCGTCTGTCAGTGCGTCACGCCTCGTTGCCATGTGTGTCCTGCCAGGCTCTGAGTGACGGGGGCGGCCGGGGGTCCCCGGACGTCCCGGCCCCAGAGGGCCCGAACGGGGAGCCTGCCTACAGCTTGCCCACCCCTAACTTCGCTAACGCCGCTAATTCTGAATGTACTGGCAGCACTACCGTGGCCCAGGTTTGTCTGTGTCTCTGTCAGTTAGCCCCCTGTTGTCATGGTTACTAACAACTCGCATAACATCCACCGCCTGGTATTACTCTGATTCAATTATCCATCCATCCATGTAATTTCCAACCCCCCCCCCCCCCCCTTTTAGGTAAATGTGATTTGTGCACTTATGAGAACCCTTGTTGTTCTGGGACCTTTCATACATTATCTGTATTGTTTTGCACTCAGTCAGGCTGAACGACTAAGCATTCCAATGCATCTTGGATCTTGAATCTCTGGTCTGTGGCCTCACAGTGCCTTCCTTTGTGTCCCCCAGGCCTCCAGCCCTGATGTAGACCACACTGAAAACTCATCGGAGGAGCCCAGGTGAGCGGCAGTGCTGTGCCCAATGGACCCCATAGTGCTCTGGGAGGGGTAGTTGGGAGCCTGTTCGTTGCCC